GGGGGGGGCCCGGGGTCACCTGCAGAGCCTGGGCGGGTGGGTGGGGGCCCGGGGGGGGCCCGGGGTCACCTGCAGAGCCCAGATGGGTGGGTGGGGTCCCGGGGGGGGCCCAGGGTCACCTGCAGAGCCCGGGTGGGTGGCTGGGGCCCCGGGGGTCCAGGGCTGTGTGCACCTGCAGAAGGAGCCGGGTGCTTCCGTCCGGAGCAAGGGTCAGTTGCTGGCAGCGCTGCTGTGAAACATCAGGTGTTCTGTGCCATCTCTGGGCTGCAAACTGACCTTCCGGCCATGCTGGGTGCTCTGGTGTCCTGCGCCTCCACACACCCTTCCACGCTGTCCGGCAGAGCAGCCTCCCCCCCAGGCCACTGTCCCCCAACCCGTCCCACCCTCACGTCTGTCCCTCCCACCGGCCTGGGAACGGGAGGAAGGCTGGGTGGAGACTGGGGGGACGGCCCAGAGCATGTGGTCACACACGCTGGAGCCCCAACCCTCCTGAGCTCTGGGATCTCCTGCCCAGTCCACCCAAGGCCGAGGCCCCATCCCCCCCAGGCCTGAGTCTAGGCAGCCCACTAGCCCCCTCCCTCCCTGCCGACCTCACCTGTTTCTAGCAGGGCCCCCAACTCCTCGGCTCCCCACTTCCTGCCCTCGGCACAGCAGCGCCCACCATCTGCACCAGAGGTACAGCTTCCTGCTGCTCCAAGAAGGAAGTCCCCGGCCCAGCCCTGCCCCCACCCACAGCCCCTCCCACCCTCAGGCTGTCCCTGCCTCAGGGCCTTTGCACCTGCTGATGCCTGTGTCTGGAAGAACCCCACACTCCCACTGACCCTCTCTCCCCCGACATCTGGCCACAGCTTCTCCCACCCCTGTCGGGTCCTGGCTGACGCAGCCTCCGAGACATGGAAGGAGGGCTCCTGTTCACGGCTGTGCAGAAGGCCTCCATCGCTTCAGGGCACAACTGCCCCTCGGACCCATGGGGAGCGGGGATCCATCTTGGCAGTGACAGGACTCACTGATGTCTCTGATAAGGCGTGACACAGGCTCACTCAGCCGACACGACCTGTCCCATGGGAACCTGCGGCCCGTGGCCGAGTCAGGACCCTCGGGCTCTGCTAAGTCTTGCCCTGCATCTCTGCCTGCCCCTCACCCCACCACCTCCGTGGCTGTGACATCTTGGTCCTGTGGGGGGGGGGGGGGCCGGGCCTGGCCAGCGCTCCCCATCAGGGCTGAAGGAGGGTCACTCTCCAGCAGCGTGGTGTCCACGTGTCAGGCCCACAGGGGACACCAGAACCAATGGCTCTCTCATACACACACACACACACACACACACACACACAGTGTGTTAGTTGTTCAGACTGTGCACTTTCCTCACCCCCCGAAGAAGCCCCGTGCCCTGGCCGGTCACCCGTTCACTGCCGCCTGCCCCAGGGACGGCCATCACCCTGCACTCCGGGTCTCTGGTTTGGCCCACATTCTGGCCTTTTCGCATTAAATGTGACCAAACGACACTCAACCTCTGACTGGCTTCGCGCCTCCACGTTGTGCGGGCTAGATCTCCACCCCGATGAGGGTCCCTGGGTGCCTCGGTCAGTGGGGGGCCCACGGATGCATTTTGCTCAGGCCAGGACTGAGCTCAGGGCGGGCTGACAATTCTCCCCCAGCCCCGCCCCCACGCTCTCAAAAACAGTAACAATAAACATAACGGGAGCTTCACGGCCTTGAATGCTGCCCTGCGGTCGCCGAATGCACAGACCACGCCGTTCACCCTCCCGCGGATGGACCCTGGGGCCTCCCACTTGGGCTGCTGTGAACGTGGGGGCCAGGTCTCCTGGCCCCGGGGAGTGGAACCGCTGGGCTGAGCGCCGTCAGGGGCTGGGGGAGGGGGGCCTCAGCGTCCCCACGAGCCGCACGGGAGGACCCCGGGTCTGTTCCTCCTCCGGCCACAGCCTCACGTGGCAGCCCCAAAAGGGCCTCCGTCCAATTACGGGCGTTCTCTACCCGCCCCTCCGAGGCCAGCAAACAGCAGCACTGCGTCATGGCGGGAGCGCCTCAACACAGGTGTCGGACCCCTCCCTGCGGACTCATGGCTTTACTTCTCGGGCCCAATTCCAGCGAGGACGCCTTGGCCCGCGCGTCTGCCCTGGGCGACCAGGCGGCATACGATCCGAGGAGGGAGGGTCTGGGCAGGACTCTTCAACGTGCTTGATTTTATACAATTTATTTTTCTACCAACACAATCATACAAAGGAAGCTGTAAGAGAAAACCACGGAACCAACCCGGAATGGCTTCGGTTAGGGCTCCACGACGTTCAGCGCCGCGAGGGGCACAGGCGCAGCCGAGCCTTCCCCCTGCAGCCGCATCGCTCACATCGCCGCCGCGTGAACGTGTGCTCAGGGTCACGGGCGCTCCTGCTACACGGTGGCGCTTCCCCAGCCAGGACGGAGGCCGCTGTGGCTTCACAGGTGCCCTCCGGGACGCCCCCACCACACACCCGAGTGCCACGCAGGGGAGTCTCCCTGCCTAACCTGGGGCAGAGCCACGGCGGGCAGGTGTGGACGCCCCACGCCCAGCTGCGGCTGTTTGGCACATGCTCTGGCCAGTGGTCCCTCCGATGAGACGCGGGCTCTCTGCCGCCCTGCGCGCCCCAGGCTCGTCCCGGCACACACGCCCAGCCCGTGCCAGACTTCAGATCGTGGACCGAGGGTCCAAGGAAGCCAGAGAAAGGCAAGGACCTGGCCACCTGGGGCTCGTTCGCAGAGACAATTTCTTCACGGCCACCTTACTTGTCACTGAAACTCCCCACGGACCTAAATAAATAAGCAAACTGTCCAGACAACAGGCCCGGGTCAGGGCAGCCGCCCGCGGTGGCACCACCGGGACCGGAGCGCACAGGCCACGGGCAGAGCGTGAAGTCTGGACCCAAAAGGCGGCCCGCGAGCCCCCTGCCCGGCCGTCCCCGTCCCCCGCTGGGAGGGGACACAGAGCTCGGTGCCGCCGCCCCAGCCCCTCCCTGGGGGGCGGGCGTGCGACCCAGGTCAAGGGTGGGCACATGCAGGTGGGGGGCCGCATGCAGCCTCAGCAGGCGCCACCTCTGCGCCTCGGAAACCGGCCCGGCCGCCCGCGCAGGACCCAGCTCTGCCCCAGCTGCACCCCAGCCTGGAGCCGAACTCCCGCAGAACGCACACCTGAGACCCCCCACCCCACGTTCCCCGGGGTTCCCCTCCGTAGGCGTGCCCACACTGGGCGGGCGTGCAAGCGAGGCTGCCCGGCTGAGCCAGGGGCGCAGGCGTGGGTGGCTCTTCTCGGACTTAACTGATGGGAACGCGAACAGGGACGTGACCGGGACAGGTGCTGAGGCGGCGGACCAGACCCCGCCGCCCTCGGCCACCTTCCTGAACAGGCCCCTCGTGAAGGTGACCTTCGTCCCAGCGTGCTTTCCCGTGGGCGCCTTGGATGGGGCGGAACTAAAGCGTAACCATGACGACCAGGTGGCTCCCGCCAAGGAATCCACGTCTGGAGCCTGAGGTCCAGAGCGTGGGGTCAGGAGGTCAGGACACGGAGGCCACGTCCCCGGGCCCCTGGAGCGTCCACGTCTCCCCTCCACACGAGGAAACCCTGGCGGCCGTGTGCTGGCTCCTGGCCTGGAGGAGTGCTGTGGGGCCGTTCTGGAAACTTCTGTAGGAGGCCCCGCGAGCCCAGCCCGGCGTGTTCCTGGGTGGCCACACATCAGGAGTAGATCGTGACCACCTCCCGGCCGCTGCCCCTGACCAGAAGGACCCTGTCGAGCCCCTCGGTCAGGACCTCCAGGAACTCCATGTCTGGGTGCCACGTTAAGGAGATGGCGGGCTGCACCGACCCGGGGTCCAACCCAGGCCAGGGGGGGCGGGGGGGCGCGTACGGGGAAGGGGCCCCACTGTGGCCCAACGCAGGCCTCAGCCGGGTGCCAGGCAGAGGGCGCTTGGGGTCAGCTGGCTTCCGCACTGGCCTGCCGGAACCTGAGGGGGGACCCCGCGGGGACCCCACGCCCCACCCCCCGGGGCTCTGGGCACAGACAGGTGAGTCCCCCGAGGGCCCACGAGGGGCCCCAAGTCCTGGTCTGGTCAGCAGGCAGAGGTCCTCCAGCTTCTGAGAGGCACCGGCGACCCCCGGTGCTGGACGGGGGGGCGGGGCCGTCCCCCGGGACCCCCGTCCAGCACCGGCGCACACGGTGAAAGGCCGCGAGCCCAGCTCGCAGTGGAGCGGAGCCACAACCGGCACCGGCCAGGCGAGGCGGCGGGCCCGCCTGGGGACACGGGAGCTGCGGGGGACGGCTCCGCTCTGCCTCGTCCAGAACGAAGGGAACACGCGGGCCCACGCGCCACGGAGGATGCCCGGCAGCAGAGCCAGCACTGGGCGGCGGCCCGGGCCCGCGCCCACCTCGCCTGGGTCCTGACTGCTGGGCTCCCGTGCTGAGGGCCTCCGCCGAGAACGCTCAGCGCGTTTGCGGCTCCCGCGCACTTGCAGATACCCCAACGCCAAGCAGGAGCCATCTGCTGAGACCCCGCTTTCCCGGCACTCGGACCGGGGGGTAGAGGCTCCCACCCCACTCCACCCCCAGCCCCTGGCACCGTGGGCCTCGCTCGGGGCCCCACTGCTCTCGCCCCCCAGCCCCAGGGGCCCCGTGAGCGAGGGGAGCAGACCGACACGCCCCGACGGGCACTGCCTTCACCCTGCCCCGCAGGCCGCACACAGAGGATACAGTTCTCGTCCCCCTGGCGGTTTCGGGGGGGCCCCGGCATGTTGAGCAGGACCAGCTGAGCGCCGCGGGACCTGCTGAGGACGACACCGTTGAGCTTCACGGCCGTGTGCATCCGCCGCACGTTGGAATGGTTCCTGTGGGGAGACGGCCACTTGGTGCCCACGGCCCTGCGGCCCGAGCCCCCTGCCCATCTCCGTCCCAGGCGGACTCAGGGCGTCGGCTCCCCAGAGAACCCACAGGGGAGCTGATTCCGTGGGAGGCCGGCGGGCACAGGCCGGGGACGACTGCTCAGCACGAGAAGCTCTGGTCCCCGGACGTTCTAGACCAGGCGTCCCCAAGCTGCCAAGCTTCTACATCGCGCAGCGCCCCCCGGGGGACCCAGCTCACCATCGGGCGTGCAAAGGGCTCACACACCTACGGGCTCTAAACTCTCCCCTAGGGAAGGCCCCAGCGCCACGGGCCGGCCCCGCTTTACAAGCGGCCTTGAGATAAGCCCACTGGACAGAGCGCACACCTCGGCACCTCCCTCGTCCTGACCCAGGTGGTCGCACGCACTGTGGGAAGAGGGGCCGGGGCCCCTGCACGCGGCTCAGGGCTGGGGATCCCGGGCAAGAACCAGGCCACCACAAGGGGCCACACTGTTCTCAGCCCAGCCCAGGCGGATGGACGGGAGCTCCCAATGCTCAGCAACCAGGCCCGGCACCTGGTCCCCGGTGGCCACCCAGGGCTGCAGGCTCTCGACCGCTGGCGCTGACGACCCCCCGGGGAGAGTCCCCACAGCCCCCTGCCCACACACGCTCCTTGGGGCTCAAGCACCTTCAGGGCCTCGTCTCCCCGCTCCATGTCCCAGGAGGCACTGGGAGCCTCCTGCCTCGGTGGCGCCCGTCTCCCTCCGAGCCCGGGTCTCCAGCACAATGGAGTCCGAGGGCCGCCCTCTGGGAGCGGGTCACCGTGCCCCAGACGTGACAGGGGCAGAGGCCCCCACACCCAGGTCAGTGAAAGGCCCACGGGAGTGGCGTCCAGGACTCAGCTTTCATCAGCTCAGCCCTCCATCAGAATGAACGCAATCACAACCCCCAGTTCCCAGCAGGAAGCCGAGTCCCCCCCGGCAACCCCGCTGTTTCGCCTGATGAAATTACAGGCTGGCGGCCCATCTGGGCCACAATCAGGGACCTCCCGTCACAAAAGCCCTGCATTAGCTGCCGGGACAGACCACAATCACCAGTGTTTGGGGACAAGGGCAACTCGAGAAATGAGCGTGTGTGACGTTAGAGGGTCTCTTACAGCTAAAAGTTTGGAAAACACATATAATCTTAAAATCAGAGGCTTGGGTCTGGTTTGAAGGACCCTTGGCTCCAGGGCGACATGCCTCATGAAGGTCAGAGGCACGGAGGGGCCAGGAAGCCACCACGAGCTGTGTTTGTTCCCTGCGGTGGCTGCGAGTCCACACGCTGTAGGCACACTGAGCCCAGTGCAGACGAGCGCGGGGGCGCGGGGCGCCCGTAGCAAAGTGGGGGTGCTGGTCTTGGCTGCTGGTGGGTTCATGGCCAGGACAACACTCGACAGAGGCAGACACGCACCTGCACAGAGACCCCAAGGTACTCACGCCCCCGGGGACACCACGGTTCGTCAGCCCCGTGCCACTGCCTCCCAGCGCCAGCCCTGTGCCCTCCTGGGCATGGGATTGGCAAGCCCACATTTGACACAGCGTTTTAGGAAGGAAACCCTGGTCAGTCCCGTGTGTGTCCGTGTTTGGGTTTTGACAGACTATCTGGGGGGCACTTTGAAGTTCACAGAGGAGCAGACACCAGATCCCTGTGTCCCTGCCCCTCCCCACAGATTCCCAGGCATGTCTGCACACGTCACTCCTTCAACAGACCGCCACCTGCCCGTGTCCTGGGTGTGTGACGCGCAGGGGTTCCCCGGGGAAGCCACCTCCATAGGGGCCACACCGCAGGCGTGGGGGGCAGGGGGCGTGCAGCGACCTCGGGGCAGGCCCCCTCCTGCCCGTCCAGCTGCCCCCCAGCACCGGAGCTCACACAGGATCTGTCCACACCCTTCTTCACACCAAGGCCGGCAGCTTCCTTGGGTGAAAAGCACCCAAAGCTGCCGAACGGGACGAGGTCCCATCCCCTACAGAGCAGAGCCCGCATGGTCAGCCTCCAGGGTGTGGACGGATTAACTAACAGCTACCACAGCACCTGCTTCTCTCTGCTCCAGAGCCAGCTCAGAACCAGCCCCCCCCCCCGCCCCCCAGACCTCAGCCCTCGAAGGGTTTAGAGAAGGAATTCAGCTGTGTGCTCTGAGCCGCACTGCACAGAGGAGTGAGGGAAGCAGAAACCACTGAAGGCCACGGCTGCAGCAGGCAGACTCCCGCGTGCGTGCACACGCAGGGCCGTGCATGCATACACTGGGGGCCGTGCACACACACACACACACGCAGGGCTGTGCACGCACATGCACACTCAAGGCAGTGCACACACACACTCAGGGCCATGCACACACATACGCAAGGCTGTGCAGAGCCATGCATGCATATAAGCGGACACACACACACACTCAGGGCCATGCATGCACACATCCACAGCCGTACACATACACACGCAGAGTCACACACACACACACGTGTAGTGCCGTGCACGAACAAGCTCAGGGCCGTGCAGAAGCACACACACACACAGGGCCATGCACAGACACACACACACACAGGGCTGTGATGGCCATGCACACACACATGCAGGGTTGTGCATGCACACACACAGGGCTACGCGCACACACGCACACGTCTGCACACGCACACACAGTTCACGAGCAGTGCGTAGCAAGCATGCAAGAAAACTGGTCTGAGAAACGTCCTAAATAAAATAAGAGCACTTACAGGTTGCCCCATTCTCTACACGGAAGAGAAAACACAAACAGTAGGTTACTTCAAGGGTGAGCACGATGAGCACTTGTAAACAACTGCGGGCACACCTGGCTGCCAGTCCCCAGCTTACCTGGTCCTTCCCCTCATCGGGGTCCAAACCCCATGCCCTTCCCCACAGCATGAGGCCTTGAGGCTCTGGTCCTCACTGAACAGCTCTGGGGGGCGCGCCACACCCCCGCGGGCCCCTGCGCCCACCCCGGGGGCTCTCAGCCCGATGCCGCCAGCAGCCCCCAGGTCCCGGCAGGCAGCCTGCACGATCGGTGGGATCACGGCTGGGAGTTCCCAGCGCCCTAAGGGCGCTGACCCCTGGCTGCTGTGATCCCAGATCCGGCATACTCTGCCCGAGAGCAGACTGTGGCCCTCGGGCCTGCCCGGCCACGGGTTGCACCCACCGCACTGTGACAGCCAGAACCTGCCACCCAGGAGCCTGCGCGGGCCACACTCACGGCTTCAGGCTGAAGAGATCTTTGAATCCGGACACGCCCGGCTCCTTGTTCTTAAACTTCTCGGCGATCAGCTTCTCCTTGGTCCAGGTCATCTGCACTTTGTCCGGGGTGGACGGGGCCTGGGCCCTGGTGGCCACCACGGAACGGGATGCGGTGTTCCTGTCGTGGATGAGCTGGGCCTGGAGGGGAAGCAGGCGCACCAGCGGGAAGGTCTCCAAGTCTCCCGGGAAGAGACGCACACAGAGGAGGGTCCCTCGCAGGGGCCCAGCGCCACCCCACCCCCGGCTTCCAGACCAAACTCGTCCCCTCCTGCCCTCTGCTTCCCGCCCTGGCTCTGAAGCCCACAGAGGAAAGGCCAGGGATAGGGAGCGCCTGCACTCGACACGGCAGGCGCTCGCCCTGAGCACCCCGCGCGTGTGCGCGGGCGCCCCGGGGCGCTGGAGGGCTCGAGCCTCACACCCGGGACGGCGCAGGGAGAGCAGGCCGAGGCAGTCGTGCCACTGCCCGTTCGGGGAACCCAGCCTGGGGGGCGCACGGCTCCAGGGACCCCAGGCCCGGACCTGCTGGCACCCACAGCGCGCGCACGCGCACCTCTCTCTCCCGCTCCGTCTTAGACAGCTGCATCTGCTTCAGCATCTGGGACCTCTGCTCCATCATCAGCGTCTTCTCGTACGTGAAAGCCGAGATGTCGTTTTCCACCTGGGGGTTCCCGGACATGGAAGTGAGAGGCGCCCCAGGCGCAGTGTGTGTTTCCCAAGGCACGCGTGCAGGAGCGCGTCCGTGTTGTGACCATGATGGGGGGGGCGCCGTCTCTGCCACGCGGCGCAGCCCCTGACGGGACCCCACGCCAAGCTCGAGCCACGGCCCGTACGAAGTTGAGACCGCAGCCAACAGGAGCCATTTCTGTGCCACGAGAGCCGAAAGCTGGGGCTCGCCTGCTGACCTCGGGGTCGAGGTCTCCTCCAGCCCCCCGGCCCGACCCTTGGTGGGCAGCCCCAGGTCCTTCCCCTGCCCTGGGTGGGGTCCGTGTCGGGCACACACCGCCCCCTCTGTTCCGAGGGCCTGAACCCTGTTCACCGCTCCCGCCAGCCTGCCAGGGGCTGCTGCCCGGGGAGATGCTACGGGCGTGAGAGGTTCCCGCGGCCCTGGGGACACGCTCCCACCCGAGGGCCCGCAGGTGGGACCACGGGCTTCACAGCCCAGGGGCCCGGGCCCCGGGTTCACAAGCTGTGACAGGCTGGGTGTCACATCGTCTTTCAGGACACGCTGAGCAGGGCGCGTCAGCTCTGCTACCACTGCCAGAAGCCCCTAGACTCGTAAACCCAGCCCGGCCCGAGGAGAAAAACGTCAGACAAATCTAAACGGAGCGGCAGGATCCACAACACAGAACGTGCCCGCGGAACCGCCAGGGGCGAGGCCCAGGCCTGAGCGCAGGCCAGCCCGGCACTGCGACAGGTGGGCGGGGACTCCCCAGCCCAGAGCCACGTGGCCCCGGCAGGGTGCCCAGCAGTCCCCACGCCTCACCATCTCCACCACCTCCACCTCCGCGCTGATCCGCAGGTGGTACAGGAACATCTGCAGATCCTTCTTCATCTGGATGCTGTTGTCGTCCACCTGGGCCACCGTGAAGATGCGCATCCGGCACTTCCTCCACACCTGGCGGGGGGGGGGGGGGCATCTGCACCTGCACTCGGCCCGGGGGCCCCCGCCCACCCATGTGACCCCAACTCCCCCGCCTGCCCCGTGTGACCCCGAGACCCCGCCCCCACCTGCCCCATGTGACACAGACGCCCCTGTCCCCAGCGCGGGGCCTGGGCGCCCCGGCCCACCTTGTGCTGCCGCAGCAGGAAGGGCAGCAGCATGAGCAGGCCCCCGTCGTGCACGACCCACCACACGTCGATGTCCCCGTCACTGAAGCGCTCCTGGTTTTGCGGAAACAGGTCCACGTTCTTGGCCACCAGCAGGGCCTGCTGTGCCGCCGTGGTGTCTCGGACGGTCTCTGTGGAGAGACAGCTGTGGGTCGCGGGCACCGAGGCGGGGGAGCGGCAAGGCCACACCCCTGGGAAGCCCCGCCCTGGGCGCAGGAGAAGGGCAGCCTGGGCGCGGCCGGAGGGGCCCGAGGGGTCTGCGGGGGCAGGGCCGGCGCGCCGGGGGCGGTGAGGCTTTCCAAGGAGGGGTCGCCCCCCGGGGCGCACAGCCGGGGCCCAGGACCCACCGACAAAGTTCTTCCAGGAGAAGGTGTTGTCCTCCCTCTTCCAGGACTCGGGCCAGGCCATGAGCACCGTGTTGTGCTTCATGCCCCCCAGGCCAGCCGACTGGATCAGGTGGGACATGCCGTCGCGCAGGCTGGACGACACCACCAGCTGGCAGAACCCCTTGGTCTTCTCCGTGCTCATCAGAGACCGGATGTTCTGGGGAGGCACGTGGGGGGACCGTGAGGGGACCGAGCGCACGGTCAGGGCCACACGGCATGCACGCTCCGGGGACAGCGGGCCGCGCCCTTCCCCGCCTCCCGGCCGGCACGTGAACCCCAGCGGGACCAGGCTTAACCAGGCCCGTTGGCTTTGGCTCCATGGGCACAGCAGGGGACGCCCGGCGCCCCCACCCGGCCAGCGTGGGAGCCTGGGCACCAGGGGGCCCCTGGGCCCGCGTCCTGAGACACGGCTCACTGCGTCCCCTCCCCTCGGGGACGCCAGGCCCCGGAGCCCCACACCTGCCGTATAGCTGGGGTGCCGCCAGGGCAGTGACAGGGCCGAGCCACCGGCACACGAGCCGTCCCCAGACGGCACGCAGACCGCCCGGTAGACCACAAAGCCAGAACTGAGCCCAGGCCCGTGGAGCCCACGCGGCCAGGGAGGCTCTGCCCCGCGAGCTCCGCCGTGGGAAAACCTGCCCACAGACCACTCACAACAGAGCTTCCGTCCCAGGGACGTCGGGGACCCCTCGGCACGAGAGCAGGACAGAACGCTCAGCCTTCCACGAAAGTAATCCCACGAGGCCACCACGGACACACACACACTCTTCCAGAACAGAAAACTGACCTACGGCCCAAGTGTGCGCAACCCTTTCTACAGGACTGTCTCAGCCCACGAGGGACAGATCCACGTGTGTCAGGTGACGCCAGCGGTGTCCGGACTGGGGCAGGGACGGTGACTCCAGCCACGCGGGTACCGCCCTGGGCCCTGGCTCATGGACTCCCACCTCCCTCGCAGGGCCGGGCAGCAGGTTCCCCCGAGACTGCGCGGCCCTCGAGCTACGGCGGAATTCACGCCAGGGCCTGTCGCCACGCACAGGCGGGGGCCCCGAGGGCACAGCCCCGGCCAGAAGCGGGCAGTGTGAGCATCACAAGGACGACCCAGCGACCTCCATCAGTTGCGCCCAGAAACCGCCGCGCCTGAGCCCGGGGGCTGAGGGCAGAGGGCAGGAGAAGCCCCAGCGCCCGCTGCCCTCCCGACCCCGCTGCGCCCGCAGACCACTGTCCGGCTCGGAGGCCAGCGTCCTGCAGCCCCGCCCCACTGCCCTGAATCTGCACGAGCCTCTGGGCACGAGCCTCTGGGCACAACCCGGGTTCAGACCCACGGCAGCTGCGTGACCGCGGGTGGGGGGGCGGGGGGGCGGCTGGACCCGTGAGGAAGGGAGGCAGACGGGGCAAGCAGGGAGGCCGCCTGCGAACAGCCGGTGCCCCACGCCTCCTGCTCCAGACACAGACATGGACACAGACAACCAGACACGGAAGTGTTTCTGCCTGGAAACACCCGGACATCAGGCCGTTTCCACACACGCGGATGTCGCGTCCCCTCCAGCCCGGCCCCTGCGCTCACGGGCCCGCCCACGCCAGCCGCCTCCAGAAGCTCCCGCCTGCGCAGTGCCACCCCGCAACCGCGGTCCTCGAAACCAGAAAGCGGCGAGACGCACAGAACCGCGCCCTGACCTTCCGGCGCAGCCCAGGCGGGACCCAGCGGGCCACCCGCCCCCTCCGCCCGCGCCGAGCGCCACCCACCTCCTCAGCCCGCTGGGCCTCGGCGTGCTTGTCCAGGTAGGTGCCCTCCAGCACGGAGCCCACGATGGTCAGGCCCTTGCCGGCCTTGAGCTGGGTGGTGAGGGACAGCAGGCGAGGGTGCTTCACACACTGTTCCTCATCCAGGCTCAGCATCACCAGCACCTGCGGCCTGCGGCAGAGACGGCGTCACCCCGTCACCGGCCGGCGGGCAGGCCGCGGGGCTCTCGGTGCAGGGGACACCGCTGTTCGCCGGCACGGCCTTCTCCGTGCTTCCAGCAGCGGGAGACGAGCGGCAGGCGCCCTCACACTTCCCCTCCACCCTCAGCAGTACCCCCGGGGGGTCGGCTCGCCCCGTTCCCCACCCACCATGCCACCTGGGTCTGGCCTGGCACCCAGAGACATGCTGATCACACCGTGGCCAACCAACATGAACTGAGAGAAGGTGCTAGAAGCTTCTGAGACCGCTGCTCCCCTGAGGAAGGAGCAAATTTCCCTCTCTGAAGAGTGATGTTAGAGATGGTGCTCTGGGGGTTCAGGGGGTGTGAAGCCGACTCGGGGTGAGCCAGGGAGCTCACCGCCAGTTCTTGGTGTGGGGAGGGCCGTGCTCCACGCGCAGTAGGGCGTAGCGGGCAGCGTTTAGTGACAGCCCCCTGATGCCGTCACCCCACTCCTTCTCGGCCCTGTGAGGAAATGGCAGCGGTTAGACCTCAGGCCCCCAGGGACAGGCTCCCCGAGAAGCCACCATGGGCGGGACATGGGAGTCGGGGATACGGCTCTGTGTGCGTGGACACTGGTGAGCACCGCTGGCACCGCCAGCCTGGCCTCCCCAGCACGTGGTCACAGCCCGACACTCCTGCTAAACCTCCTGGAAAGAGCGGGCTCGGTGGGCAGCAGCCGGGACCCCACCCCCAGAGGGGCCAGGCGCCCAAGGGACACAGCCCAGGGATGGGCCGAGCGCTGCGGGACGCAGGGTCCCTCACACACCAGTGCTGTCACTGGACGGACTTCAAAGTTCTGAAAAACCATACTAAGGTGTCACAGCCAGAGTGGCCCCTCTGCCTGCGGCCCCTCCGCTGGCTATGACACAGGGTGCCCGCCCGTGGCCCCCCCATGGCCCAGGCCAGGCCCTGCAGCAGCTTACCCGCGGTACTCAATGTACTTGTAGATGCAGCCGGCGATGAGCATGGCGAACAGGGCGTAGTACCAGGAGCAGATGAACATCAGGGCGAGGCACAGGCTCATGCCCAGGAAGGACAGCGCCCTGGGGAACACGCACCTCACGTGGCTGCCCACAGCCAAACCCTGAAACCTCACGGTCCCCGCCAAGATCTTTTCCAGACACCGTGAGAAAGCAGCAACGATGCCCTGAGATCGGGTCCCCCACTGACCCCTCTTGGGGGCTGAGACAGTCCTGGCTCCGTGCCCACCGGTATGCCTGCCCCGCCCCCAGGGCACTCAAACACCCGCCGGGCACAGCGCACAGTGGGCTTCATGCATCTGCCACACATGGCGGCAGCGCAAGGACCGAGCGGCCGCGGTCAAACGCTCTGGGCCCGGGGAGACTGGGGGCAAGCCCCGGGGGACCACGTGCCACAGGCTGCCTGGGTGGCCCAGGCCACGGCCACCTGCCAGCTCGGCGCTCACCAGTGGTAGTACTTGAACCGTGGGCGCCAGTTGGGCGTCCGCAGCAGGGTCTGCACGGCGCAGGCCAGGTTCACAAACATGTAGCACATCAGGAAAAACCTGGGAGTGAACACAGCACGGAGGGCCGGGGCGGGTCCCACGCGGCTCCTGGCTGACACGCCGCCCCGTCCTGTGGGCGCCTGGCCGCCTGCTCCAGGGAGCAGGTCCCTCGTCTGCGTACCATCCCCCCACAGGGGTCTCCCTGCCCCCTCTCGTCCGCAGCACCAGCCCAGTGACCACACGCACCCATCGTCCCGAGCAGAAGGCCAGCCCCGAGAGCAGGGGCGCGCAGGCGACAAGCGGCGGCCACCTCTCCACAGCCCGTCCCCACAGCCCGTCCCCACACCCCCCCGCCGTACCCAGGGCTGCTCACATGGAGAGGATGGGGGCCACGCTGTCCAGGGAGGCAATCAGGATGCCGGTCTCGCAGATGAGGGCCGTGAGCAGCAGGGCCCACGTGGGCTCCCCGTTGGCCTTCCCGTGACCGAACACCTGCAGGGAAGGGCAGGGGGGCTGCTGAGACGTGGCGGGGGCCCCGGGAACGCCTGGCGTCCTGGTGAGAGGCCCAGGTTCTCAGGCGCAGCCCCAGAGGGCCTCAGGGACGTGACGGAAGCAGAAGCGGGTTTGCACAGCTGGGCCGGCACCCTCTCCAGCTGCGTCCAGAGCAGACACCCAACCTCCAGCCCCCAGGAGGGGACGACGTTTGCAGACGTGAGCTTTACAGGGGCCAAAGCCGCTGGGGCAGAACCAGTCCTGCCTGGTGACCTCGCATAAAGAGATGAAGGTGCAGGGAGGCCACGTGAGGCCTCGGGGGGGCGGGGAGGCCACGTGAGGCCTCGGGGGGGGCGGGGGGGGCCACGTGAGGCCTCGGCGGGGCGGGGAGGCCACGTGAGGCCTCTGAGAAGACCGCGTGCACGCGTCCGCTCAGGCTGTCTGAGCCCCCAGCCTGCAGCGTGTGGTAGGGGGGCCCCAGGACACTGAGATGTGAGCCCTTGAGTTCATTCCAGAAAGTTTCCACCCCAAGTAGAGGACGACCCCCAGCAGGACAGACGGCCCCCCACAGGCCACCCCCCCACCAGACAAATGCCCCCCCGCAGGACAGACAGGACAGTTATTACCCCCTCCCCCCCAGCAGGAGGGGGCTCCTCGCTGCTCCCACAGCAGTGACTGCCTGGGGTCCCCGGGGCCCACAGTCTGGGACAGTGAAGGTCGTGCTCTGGGGGCAGACCCTCAGGGACACTTGCGGACTGGCCTCAGAGGGGCGGCCGCCCAGCTCACCCGCAGGAAGGGGATGATGCCGTCGCGGGCGATGGCCTGCAGCAGCCGCGGCGCACCCGTGAGGCTCTGCAGACCCGCGCCGCAGGTGGAGAAGAAGGAGCCGATGACGATGACCCAGGGCGACGGCCAGGCCAGCATGCCGATGACCAGCTTCCCCTGCAGGGCCTCCCCAAACCTGCGGACGGGGGCAGGAGGGCTTCAGACATCCTGAGCAGGAACGCGGCTGCTCCCACCCCGAGCGTCCCTCTTAGGAGCAGGGAAGCCACCGCCACCCGCGTGGGAGCGTATCGCCGCGGCCTCGGGGTCAGGGACTGCACGGAGCCCCGGCACTCTCCCGGGCTCAGAGGCCGCCCTGTGCCCCCCGCCCCCCCCCCGGGCTGGAGCAGAAGAGGATAGACACGTGGACCAAACAGAACCCCACGGAGGGGCCACGGGGCTTCCTGCTCCATCACTCGCAGCCTGAAGTCCTGAGGGGGCGGGGGGGAGGGTCCCCACGGTCAACAATGCGACCCTCTATGAGGAAATGGAAGCTTCGAGAAGCTGCACATGGAAAGCAACGTACTTATCTCGTAAGATCACTCCTTCGATGCAGGCCCCGAAGAGCACGATGCAGGACAGGTCTGTGTCTCAGGTCAAGGAAGTGGCGGCCCAAACACGCTGCGGCCACGGGGACCGGGTTGCAGGCAGACCTGACCGGCCCCGGCCCCGCCCGCCAGGCCCGGTGGCCCTCAGGGCACCTTCCTCACCACCCCATCCGCCAGGTGAGCCAGGCTGCACACAGTCTGATGCATGACCTCCACGGGGACCAGGCAGGGTCCCCGGCTTGCTCGGTGGGGAGCGGCTATGCGTTAGTGACACGTTACGTGGGATGACATGAGGGGTATGTGCAGCTTATGGACATCTCGCGCCAGAATCAGCCACAAAGGTCAGTATTATAAGACAACGCTGGCCCAGCTCCGTCTCAGGGGCGACGGCCAGGACTCGCGGGGCCCAGGAAGCCCACCCCAGCGGCCGGGGCTCAGAGCCTGGGGCCACCCTCGCCTGGTTGCCTGTGCCCCCCCCGACCTCGGCCCTTTCAAGGATACAGATAAAAGATGTAGTCACGATGGCCAAAATGGTCCCTGTGGGGATGGACTTCTGGGCATCCCTGAGGTCCCCAGACCGGTTCGAGCCCGCCATGATACCTACAGAAGCCCGCGGAAGGACACACAGCTTACCACGCCTGGGATGCACGGGGGGCGGGGGAGGGGGTGGGACCAGAGAGAAGTGCCCCCACCAGCTGTGTGCAGCTGCAGCGCGTGCGCAGGTAGAGCCGGGCAAGGCAGCCACGCGGGCCTGGCTCCGGGAGCGGGAGCACGGCCGAGCAGCCCCCACAGGCGCCAGACGGGCAGACACACCATCGGCGGCAGGCGGCTCCGGCAGCCAGCGCCAGGCTGGGGCGGTGGGGGCTCCCGCTGCGCACACGGCAGCCCAGGACTGTCCCAACAGGGGGTGCACGTGCGCGCGTGCAGGGGAGGAGGCACCGGCATGGACGAAAGCGTGTCCACTCCTGGCCGCCACTGTCACGGTTCCTTTGAGTGACACCAGCCTCTCTGGAGAGCTCGGGACAAAGCCACTTCCTGAACCCCACACAGCGCGCGGGGGCAGAGGCCCGAACCCCATGCGGCGTGGGGGCAGAGGCCTGCAGCCAGTGTCGTGGGCTGAGTGCAGTGAGGGGACCAGGGCCCGAGTGCGCAGAGTGGGGGGGGGGCTCACCCGTCACAGAGGGGAAGTAGATCCCGACCAGCATGGTGAAGTAGGTCATGATGTCAGTGAGGACGTAGGGCAGGCCACTGGCCCTGCTCTCCTCTGGCACGGGCACCGACGGTGTGCCCTTCCTCTCTACAAACGCCCCTTTGTCTGCATACGCACTCCACAGGTTATCTGCAGCAACAACAGGGCAGTAACAGCATTCCGGAACCTTCGGAGGTCCTGACTCAGAGAGGCCCCAGCAGACGCGGCTGGTGGCAAAGGGTTCCTGAGCTCCCACGGGCTCCAACTTCACAGGAAGACGCGAAGTTTGTCTCCCAGAAGAACAGAAACGGAGAAGCCCTGCGAGTTCCGCTGAGAACCTGGAAAGTTCCTGTGCAGTAGTGGCAAACTCCTAGAAACAGAGTCTACGGATCTGTGGGCTTTGCACCCTCTGTGGTGACGGCAGCTCTGGGGACGACAGACAGCCGCCCGGCGGGTCGGCTGTGGGGGAGGGAGGCGGGGCCCCACCCGGAACACGGGGACACTCACCCAGGAAGACGCCGCTGACCACGCCGGGGATCCCCTGGATCTCCGTGACATTGTTCTGGGCAAAGTACTCGTCACAGGTGGCGTTGGGCATGGAGCTGTTGCAGAAGAGGCCCCAGAGCGCCGTGGGCATCGTGCTGTTGTTCAGGGTGTGGACCTTGGCACAGACGTCGAAGCCACGTCTCGACAGGGTGCGGTTCCCCAGCAGGCAGACCCTAGGGCGGGCGGCCGGGCGTGAGGGGCTGGGACCACTTCTGAAACTACGACTGCTTTTCTCGGGCGACCGGGGCCGGGGGCCGCTAAATCACCCTGATACCCCACTTTGTGGGATGGGAACGCCGCGTGAGCCGTGGGGGTGGGGGTTGAAACAGGACCCCAACAGCCCCTCGAGACCACAGTCCCGGGTCACGGGCTCCTCACAGCGTGAGCCCAGCCCGAGGGCGTCTGACACAGGCACCCCCTCCGTGTGGAGAAGCTGGGGGCTGGTGCCAGCGGCCATGCACCCCATCAGGCTCCCCCTAGACCCGCCCTGTGGGTGCTGGGCCCATCTGACCGGCCTGGTGTCTGAGCACCGGACACACCGTGGCTCAATCACTGGCTGTGACCTTGGGACTTGGCATCCACATCCAGAGGAAGGTCAAGAAAGGAACGCTCATGGGGGCTCTGTGAGGACGAGGGGAGCCGGGCACACTGAGGACAGGCCACCCCAGGAGCTCAGTGACGCCTGACCGTCCTCGGGGCCACCAGTACCCTGTGCACCCCGACCTCCGCCAGACCCATCCTGTCCTCACAGATGTCAGAGGCGCACGAGCGTCCTGGCGGCTGCTCCCGACCCCGGCCATGCGGCCACGGCCCCGGGCCGAGGAGAGAAGCTGCATGTGTGCAGCACTCACGGGATGTCTGGGGGGTCGAAGGCGGTCTTGATGACGCCGGCGTAGATGGCGAGGATGGACAGCACCACGCAGGCCAGGAACACCAGGGCCAGCTTGTTGACGTACTTGACGCCCACGAAGACCACCATGGCCATGAGCACCAGCGTGCACGTCCCATACACACGCATGTTGTGCAGCATGGCCGCGGCCTCGCCGCCCGCCGCCTCCGCCTGGATGATGGCTGCGCTGGGGGAGATGTAGGTCTGCGGGGCACAGCGCGAAGGGGTCAAGGAGGGACGTCGACCTCCCCTGCCTGGAAGACGGCCCCGCGGGGGAGGCACCTTGGTCTGCGGGGCTTGGCGCTGGGCTCCCTCCCGCACTGGGGCCCCCAGCCCCCCAGCATCCATTCACGGTGGGCCCTGGGGAGCTGCCGCCGAGGCACGGGAGCGGAAAAGAAAGGCTCACAGAGGTGCTGCGCCGGGGTTGGTGTTGTGGAGGCTGCTCTTGGGCGGCGCCCCCAGCCCAGCCTGCGGGGCCAGGGCCACCGGGCTCGACCACACGAGGGCAATGATACCATCTGGGAGGCCCTACTGGGCACGTGCAAGATAAGTCGGGGAGGGGCAGCAAGGACAGATTCCTGGCCGAGCTCTCTCCTGATGGCCCTGCGTCCTTGAAGGCCTTGAAGGCCCGGCCCTGGCAAGCACATCACCTGGGCAGGTACCCGCCGGGCAGCCGGCAAGGCCACTGGGTCACGCCACTCCGAGGAGACAGAGGCAGCCAGCCTTCAGGAGCCCAGAGGGGCAGTGTCAGAGCGACTGGGTGAGGGGCTGGGCTCCTCGGGGTCTGGAAAACCAGCCCAAAAGAGAGCACTTACCAAAAAAATCTCAATGGTCCCCAAGATATACATGGCCCCGGCGAAGGTGGTGCCCAGGTAGAAGCAGAGGCCCACGGCCCCTCCAAACTCAGGCCCCAGAGACCTCGAAATCATGTAGTATGAGCCGCCGGCTGCAAACCAGACACAGAAACAGGTGAGGGTCGCCCTGTTCGCTGTGCTGCGGACGGTGGACCCAACCCCTCAATTCTGTGCACTTTGACCCTAAAAGGCCAAGGAAGCCAGGGCCGCGCAAGCACGTCTCACGCTAGAGCACGCCGGCGCCACAGCGGACTCCGGGCCCCACGCCAGACGGCCCAGCCAGCAGGCCCCTGGGTCTACACTGCCTACACCGCGGCTGCCCCGGGGGAGGCTCTGGGCCGGGGCAGCCTCCCCGCGACCTGGAGATGGAGTCACACAGCACAGCACCCGCTCCCTGTCCTCCTCGCCTGGGGCTCACCGACCCTGTCCCAGGGGAGGCCGCTACGGACAGCAGTGACTCCAGGGCTCCAAGGTCAAGGCAGGGCCCCCAAGAGAGGGAGCCCCCAGCCTCCCGGGCAGGGACTGCCTGCCGCGGCGCCCATTCAGCCTCAGAAATGACTTGGTTTAGAAAGAGAATGAGGGTCTGGCGGAAATTAACTTCAGAACCAAAGGCAAGAATCAGCTCATAAAATGCCAGCACCTCCGACCAGTGGACAAAGGCGAGATCTCAGAGTATCGGGAAGTATTCCGTGGGTTCCCACCCGGAGAAGCCCGATTTCACAGCAGGCTCGAGTGTCAGGCCAGGCGCTGGCGGACAAGTGTGTGCAAGTTCCCAGCCTTGATGCCCGTGGGGGGCGCCAGGACACCAGCTCTCGGTGCATCCTGGGCCGGGACGCCAAGCGAGGAGCACGGCCCCCCACTCGCCCTGCCCGGCACCCTTACCTGGGACCACACCATTGGTGGCGATGGCGCTCATGGAGATGGCGGTCAGCATCGTCTGCAAAGACACAGGCGAGCCTCTCAAAAGAGAGAACGTGTCGGAAGCCGCACCGGCCCAATCACAAAGGGACTGCGGGCAAGCAGCCACGCGGGCTCAGGACGCTCCCCCTCATCTCCCACTCAGCCCCGAGGCGGAGCTCCTGCAGACCCTCGCAGGACCCCTCCTGCCCGGGGGTGTGGGGGCCCCATCCACGTGTCCCCCTGCCCGGGGGTGTGGCGAAGTGTCCTGCCGGGCACATGTGCTGCTTAAGGAAGCCTCTCCTCTTATTCCCGGTTTATATGTTTTTGTGGCAATCACTCCAGATAATTTCCAGGTTCCTCAAGTGAAAGCAACCTCACAGGAGGAAGGGACACAGTTTAGGCAGCCACAACACAGCCCGTGAAGCCGTGGAGGGCACGGGCAGGTCCCCAGGGGGCCAGGTCAAGGGACTCTCGCTTGGTTGTCTGAATTTCAGCCAGAGGCCTCCAGGTGACGCTGGGGGATCGGGACAGCCTGTTACAGTCCCTGCCGTGAGAGCAAGGCAGGTCGGGCAGAGGCTGTGGGAGCAGGTGCCCGGGACACAGAGGACGTGCACCCCAGAGCCCTTCCACAGACGTGGCCCATCACTAGCCCAGCCTTGGCCGGCCGGCCCCACACAGCTTGGCTTCCCTTGGGCATGAGCCCTGGGGTCTGGGCACAGCGTCCCCGGAAAGCCCCAGCCATCGACACGGATGGGTCCCTGAGGTCCGCACGCCACCCGCCCGGGGACCTACAGTCACTCACGCAGGTGCAACACATGAACACGATGAGGAAGGACTCCAGGACACCAGCCGCCCCCACGATCCACGTCAGGCGCAGGAAGAGGATCACGCCAAGAATGTTCTGGAGGCAGGGCAGGTAGACGCCAATGAAGGTGCCCATGCGCGGGCTCTGAAAGCAAGCACGGCAGTTCCTGTTTCGGGGAGGCTGGACCAGCACCTGCAGGCGGCCAGACCCGCGGCCCTGCCCCAGGGCCCCCGGGACAGAAGAGCGAGGGAGGGAAGCTGTGGGGCTACACGCTCCAGCTGCACGGGCCTCGCGGGTCCCAGGAAGCCAGGCCTCCGGGGAGGACCACGTCGCCGCTGAGGACCAGGGCGGGGCCCTGTCCAGCGGAGGCCGGGCAAGTCTGGGCGCCCCCGTGGCTCAGCACACCGGCCGGGCAGACAATGCCAGGGTCCCAGTCCAGGCGGTCTGACTGCCGGCACGATGCCACGGTCAGCGGGCCCACCGAGACTCGAGGCTGAAAGGCTGTCTGAAAAGGCGAGATGATGTTCAACAGGAAAAACGTCTCAAGTCCAGGTGAATTAAAAACAAACAAAACCAAGAAACTGGGGAAGATCTGCTTTGAAATCATTTCCTGCGAATGAAAACAGGCTGCCACCAAGGGCCTGCAGGCGGTTCTCGGGCTCAGGGCCCCAGGACGGGCCTCTGCACAGAACGCCTGCCCCGACGAGCCTGGACGGGCAGGGCCCAGAGCCCGTGGGACCCTCCAAGCCTGGGCAAAATCCCAAGGGCACCCCCGAGCATGTGGGCATCTTAATGCCTGGGACGCTCAGCTCCCTCTTAACACAAGGCCCAGGCCTGCCCACCCACGGGGTGCCTGGCTTCTGTGCGCCCCCTCGGGTGGCCACAGGGCAGGCGTGGAGCGACTCAGGGACCTTCCAGTTGTGTAAACTGGGAACACACTGGCCAAGGAAGGGTGGTGCCAGGCAGGCAGCGGCTTCTCATTCAAGGGTAAGCACCAGGCAGCCACCCCCCAGCTGACGCAGGTGCCCGCTGCTCTGCGCCCAGCAGCTGGCAGGATCCCAGGTCGCCAGGGAAGGGTCTCCCGTTCACGCCTACAGGCAGCTTTGACAGATCGGCCCGGCCGGCCGGGAGCTCGAGCCCTTGCCGCGGTGGGGGTGGGTACCAAGGCCGGGCATCCACACCCAGAGGACCTGATCAGTCCTAAGTGGGGCGGCTGATCCGTCCCAGAGTATGTCCACCTGGTGACAGCGGGTGTGCGGAGGGTCACGGCGCGGCTGGGTCCCTCCTGTGACTGAAATCCAGCCTGCAGCACCTGCCCTGGCGCCTCCAGGGGACACAGGCCAGACAGCTGAGCTGCCAGGTCCGAGCCACGTGCTGTACAGGCTCCCTGAGCTGGGCATTTAGACTGTATCGCCACAAAAACCACGTGGAGGGTCTGGGCTGCGCTTCCGTGCACGGGGAGGCTAGGGCGCCCTGGGCTGAGCTGGGGGGCCTGGGGACCGCGGGGGAGCCGGCGGGGGCCAAAGCGGGTCCCAGGAAGCAAGCACACCCAGGCCCACGACCGCGAAGCAGCTGTTCCTGGAGGCAGCGGGCACCGTATCAGCTCCAGCACACAGACAGAGGGACAGGGACAGACGTGTGCTGCCTGCCCAGAAAACGCCTGTGGCTCCAGAGTCTGGAGCAGAGAAGAGCCTGTGAGGCCACAGGCAGCGCCCGGCGCACGTGGGAAGCACCAGCACACCCATCAGCAGGTGCCCTGTGACCGTGGCAGCCACGGGCTCCTGGCGGCCGGGGAGGGCCCTTCAGGGCACTGCTCCCGCCCCCAGGAGGGCGGCCAGGGCTGGGGAGGCGGTCCACACGCCCCACGTCTCTCACTCCAGGCTAAGTAAGTGGCACTTGGCAAACAGAGCAAACGTGCCCAAGCGGCCCAAGCAGCCAGGGAACGGGAGAATCTTTCCTGCCGGTCTGCAGTAAGAGGTGCCTTCTGTGACCCGACTTCCTGACAGCCAAGGTCAGGGTGGAGGCAGGACGTGGGGAACAAGCGGGCCCCTGCGCACCAGGGCTGGCGCCATGGGCAGGGCGCGCAGAGGAGGGGGGCGGGCGGGGAGCCCCCATGCTACACACCCAGCTGCAGGAACCCTCGAGGGGAGGCCAGGAGCTCGGGCCCCACGCCAGCTCCGCCCTGCTGACCCGGCCGCTGCCCTGCTTCATGACCGAGGCACAGAACCTCCGGGCAGCACTGGCAGAGCCAAGAGCCGAGGGAAATGATCACTGTGGAAGGTCGAAAAAAGCCCCTTTCCACCCTTAACTGAGCCTCATGTAGAAGAGAGACAAAAAGTAGTGTTTTCCTGGGACTAGGGATGGGGAGAAGGGCCGGGATGGGGGCGGGGGCGGGGGAGGGGAAGGGGGCGGGGAGGGCCGGGGGGGGGGGGGGGGGGGGCCCACCTTGACCTCGCGCCGCCGGCTGTCCTCGTCCTCCTCGTGCTCGGCGGCGCCCTGGCTCAGGTTGGTGTAGTTGGCCAGCTTGTTGAGCAGGGAGGACACCATGGGATTGCTGTCCATCTCCTCCTGTCGGGGCCGCGCTGCGGGTCAGTTACCCGGGTCGCCGAGCCCGCTGCAGTGACGCCCAGCGCGGCCCTGCTCTTTCCCGCTGCACACGCGGGGCCGCAGGGCTGGGGCGGGCCCCTGCCGCCCCGGACGCCGCACACCAGGTCCCCGGTCGGGGTCAGGAGCAGAGGTCGGGGCCCAGGTCACACGCCGTCCGATCGGGAGGCCGGCCCTCCGCCCGCCCCCCAGGTCCTCACCAGACCGAGGGGTCTCGGGGCCTCGCCCTGTATGTGACCCAGTTAAAGCCTCGGCCCTCACACTTTCTACAGAAGGAAGCGTGCGTCACCTCGAACAGCGCCATGTTCTTTCCTTCAAAGAAGCTCTCGGGCTCCACCTCCACGTGGTTGATAAACGGGCTGTTTTCTCGCGAGTTTCCATCTCCTGGTGGGGAAAGCGCTGGGGTCAGGTTCAGGAGCAGCTGGAGGAGGCAGGGGCCGCTGCAGACCCCACGTGCCCAGCCCCGCCCCGAAAGCCTGGGGGGACCCCCGTGAGACACCAGGAGGCTCCGCCCTCCCCCAGGCAGGCTCGGGGCTGCGGGGACAGACACACATGTCACCGGCAGGCGTGCGTGTGACCCTGCCGCCCCCGCAGAGATGGTCCTCAGGGTTGCGGCCCAGGCCTGGCTGCTCAGGAAGCTGCAAGGCCGCACGCCTCGCCCAGGGTCTGGTGCCTGGGCAGCCCAGCCCTCCCTGCCTCAGTTTCCCCACATGAAAGATCAAGAACAGAGTGAAGGGCTGGTAACAGAGGAGCCCCCTGTCCCAGCTGGAGCAGGGGCAAGGCCGGGAAGGGACAGGCGGGTGGGTGGGGTGGGAAGGGCTGCCTCTCACAGGGACCCAGGCGGGGAAAGTACTGCCCACAGGTCAGACCCCCGTGTCCCCGGGGATCAACGCCCCACGTGCGGAAGTCACACCATCCTGGGAGCTGGGCCCAGGACCAGGCACACACAGGCGCTGCAGCAGCCCAGTTACAGCCGCCACGTGCACACCCTCCCCCGTCCCGCAGGCAGGACCCTGGCCCCCCGCCCCCTGCGTGTGCACACCCTCCCCCGTCCCGCAGGCAGGACCCTGGCCCCCCGCCCCCTGCGTGTGCACACACACACACGCCCCGTCCCGCAGGCAGGACCCTGGCCCCCCGACCCCTGGGTGTGCACACACACACACCCCGTCCCGCAGGCAGGACCCTGGCCCCCCGACCCCTGGGTGTGCACACACACACACCCCGTCCCGCAGGCAGGACCCTGGCCCCCCCACCCCTGGGTGTGCACACACACACAGCCCATCCCGCAGGCATGACCCTGACCCTCCACAGAACTGCACTTCCCACGACTCAGCAAGGCCCAGGCTGCATGCCAGACAGGGGTGTCATGTACCACCCCCGGGAGCCCCCACGGGACAGCTCCGCTTCCCAGACAGCAGGCTGGCCGCAGGGGGACGGTCCGCACGCCTTGCGGGGGCTGCACCACGAGGCCTTGGTGCCCACACGGAGGCCCAGGGCAGGCCAGGGCACCTCAGCTCCACCAGCAAGGCTGCACACGGGCCAGCAGGGGCGCATCCTGGTGCCCACGGGGTCTGCAGAAGGAGCAGGCACCGAGGGAGCAGAGGTGCCCCCTTGCCTGCCGCACACGGGCCGGCGACCTGACTTCCGTTCCTGAAGCCAGGGTCGTGGCCCTGCCACCGGGTGCCCCGCCCCTGGGCACGGCGCCCCTCCCCCGCCCCTGCACCATGGACGGGGCCCATCGCAGGGCAGGCGGGGCCGCGGACCAGTAGCTGCGGCGGCGCCCGCCCCTCACCTATTTCTCCAGGGCCACAACGCGCTTTAACAAGAACGTATACGCCCGACACACGTGAACACATCAACCTCACCAGTAACGTGTTCAGAGCAAAGGCACGCTGCCGACTTCGCCCCGTCCTGGGAGTGCAGCTCGCAGGGGCGGGTCCAGGCGGGCACAGCCGCGGTGCAAAACCTGCGGTAACCAGACAGCCCCAGACCGAGACCCGCGGCGCTTCCGACAATAAAGTTGGAGTAAAAAGGCCGCTCGGCGACCACGCAGCCCACTGGTGGCCACAGGGTTCTCCAGACCACACAGCCCACAGCGAAGGTCTGCCCAAGGTTCAGATCCTGGGCTCTGGTGCACACAGAACGGTGTCCACGGACGCCAGGAGGAAAGCACAGAGCGTGTCACAGCACAGGGTTTCAGCCTCCGGGAGGGCACGTGGCGCCACCTGCGGGGCTCGGGGAGAGGGGCCCGGGGCAGCCTCCTGCCAGGAGCAAGTCCCGCGCCGTCCCCGCGAGCCGCACGGGACTCCTGGGCCCGCGCCGTCCCTTCCCAGGAGCAGGGCCCTCACTGCGTGTCCGGGCCCCCGGATCCCAGCGGGTCACAGGTCTTGCCCCGGCCACTCAGCCTGGGGGTCATGCCATCCCCACGCCTCTTCCGGACACCGTCCCTGACAGACGGTGTGGCCCAGAGCAGGGACACCAGGAAAGTCTCCAAAGGCAGCTTTCTCAGACCCCAGGGCACGGGGCCAGACGCACGGCAGGCCCTGCGGGGTGACCCGCCACAGTCCAACCTTCTGACAGAAGCCCCACAAGACGGGAGGGCCACCGTCCCCCTCAGGCACCCGCAGCGCGGGGGGCGTCCACCGGCCCATCCCCGTGGCGGCTCAAGGTGACAGGGGGCAGGAGAGCGGCACGCCATGCCGTAGCAGCAGAGAATCCCTCAGCCCCAGGCAGACCGGCCCTCCCCCTCCAAGAGCCACCGCTGGCCCCGTCAGTCTGTGGTCTGCGCCCCACGTCTTCTTCCAGACCTCAGCCCGAGCTCGCGGCACCAGCGCCTCCTCGGGTGGCCTCTGACCGTGTCCACGTTTCACACGTAGAGAAAGAAAAGACAGGAACAAAGACGGACAGAACAGTAAATGGAATACACGACCGTATTCCACTGAACGCCATACTCACCCCCAACGGGGGCTTGCAGGAGCGGCCCAAGTGCCCTGCACCAGACTGAATCCTGTGCTACAGACCCAGGAAACTAAGGAGACCGGGCCCCTTGGCAGGGGGGCCCCTTTCCAGAGATCTGGGTGAGTGTGCGCGGACACCTGAGCCTCGCTGCCGGGGCAGACGGTTGGGGGGCTGTTCACCTCTAACCGTGTACCCGTCTGGCCTCCCTGAGGCCAAGGAGGCCCCAGCACTCGTCAAAGGGACGGAGCACCAGTGACGGGGCTCCCACTGGCCACCCCCAAACAATCTGCGTCCAAGGTCACAGTACACATGCCAAGTCCCACGCGTGTGAACAGGGGACAGACACACACACCCGCCCGCTGCATCCCCGCAAACCCACAGGGAGGGATGGGGAGGAAGAACTCACCACAGGAATGACAGCTGCGGCCACTAGCACCAGACCATCTCCACATCACAAGGCAAGCATGCCCTGGGGGAGAGGCCAGCCCACTGACCTAGCCAAGGTCAAGGTTAACACCAGGGTCACAAGCCAGCCAACACCCAGGGAGAACACTTGTGACTGGTGACTTCACCCGGAAGCCTAGACAACGCCAGACAAGCACAGAAGTGGCCCCTCAAGAACGTGACTCCCCAGAGGGCAAAGACAGGCATGGAATGTTCCAGAAGCAGGGACAGCGCAGAGACGGGGCAGTGGAGAGCAGCACATGGCCTAGGTTCTCTGATAAAAGGACACTGCTGGGCCGACTGGTGAAGCCAGAGGAAGAGCCGCAATAGAGAGAAAACCGCCTGTTTCCAGGAGAGGCACCTCCCACAGCGGCTCAGGAAGAGACAGGGCAGCGGAGGGGACAGAAAACGGGTCCCCAGAGACTCTGCATCCTCACAGCTTCTACAAACTCTACAGTGAGAGCAAAAAAACTTATCAAGCAGGATGACTGCATGGCTCAGTGGGTTGAGCCTCCGACTTCGGCTCAGGTCATGATCTCACGGTTAGTGGGTTCAAGCCCCGCGTCGGGCTCTGCGCTGACAGCTCAGAGCCTGGAGCCTGTTTCAGATTCTGTGTCTCCCTCTCTCTCTGCCCCTCTGCTGCTCATGCTCTGTCTCTCAACACTAAATAAACATACATATATATATAACTTAATTAGGAAATATTCAAATAGAAGGAAGCTGCCATGAGAATTGCCCTCCCTCGAGGAAAGTGTGGGCTGGCTACGTGGGCCTCCGCAGCACCCGCCCCAGGGTCCCCACCACCCCCCAGGCACTCCAAAGTCACCCACTGTCCCCAACAAGTCTGAAGCTTCCTCTCACTGCTTTTTCCTCCAAATACACTGATTCCACTTCACATTTTTCAAGGAAGAATAGGTTACAATCAAACTCTGAACAAAGAAAACCGTGACCCCAGGGCCTGATCTGTCTGTGCACAAGCAGGGTACAGAGCGGCTGCCGAAGCCGCGTGTTGGGTTTCGAAGCAAACCCCCTCCCCGTGCCAGCTGGACTCCCCAGCCCCACCCCAGAGGGCAGGGGTCCTCCGCTGGCCAACACCCACCGGAGCTGGGGAGGCCGTGCACCTGGGCTTGTCCCTTGTCATTCACACAACAAGGACCAGAGGACAGACAGGCCAATGGCAGCCCAGCCTCCCAGCATCCTCCGGGGCCGCGGTAAAGCGGTGAAGCAGAGGGCCATGTGATGAGGGATGGCCCCACCCCTGCCTGCCGGCCTCGAGGGCACAGGACTAGTCTCCACACCGTCCCTGGCAAGCTCCACTCCCACCTCCTGCCCCTCGGGGACCCGCTCTGGCTCACCCGCGTGTACAGAGAATGGAAACACTACTTGCTGCCCCTTTACGGACATCACTTTAAAACCCATCTGTTGAGGGGCGCCTGGGTGGCTCAGTAGGCTAAGTGTCTGACTTCAGCTCAGGTAATGAGCTCGTGGTTCATGAGCTCGAGCCCCGCATCAGGCTCTGTGCTGACAGCTCAGAGCCTGGGGCTGCTTCAGATTCTGTCCCCCTCTCTCTGCCCCTCCCTGCATGATTGCAAGCTCTGTCTCTCTCTCAAAACTAAACAAACATTAAAAAGCAAAGCCAGAGAAGCTGCCGCAATGTAGGGCTCACTCATATGTAAAGAAGCAAGTTTTATCTTGAAGAAACCACAGACAGAAAATTTAAGAATTGAGGCCCGGGAAACACACAGGCAGGAGCCATTCACGATCGCCGGCGCACGGGCATCAGACCACCATTCGTGACCACCACGTGAAAGGTTCAGGCAAAAATCTGCGAAACCCGGAGGCCAATGAGTGAAAGACAGAGGGGCAGGTCCCTGTACGGTCAGCACAAAGGTGAGATGTCCAGTAGCAGGGTCATCTAGGGCCACGCAGGCCACATCATGATGGGACACCCCGTGGCATTCCTGCCTCAAAGTGTTTCTCCT